GGCGACTTCTCGAGAGTCGCCGATATTCGATATTTCGATAATATTATCAATTAATGTATCTCTTGCTCTTTCTTAATTATAGTCCCGACTCGACAATTCGCGAGAAAGATTTGGAGAGCAACGTAAGATATTGACTACTATATTGAGATATCGATGCTTATTTATTGACAATATGGTGACGTTGTTGTCATAGCAACCGGCGATTTCCCGCCGACGAGTGCAATCTCGCGATCGCGATCACTATCGATTTACTCCTAACAGCACGCATATTCAAATAGCGGTTAAATGGTATCCAGAAGACATCCAGAAGATGTTCGATGTCCTCTAAATGTCTTTCGGATATATTGTGCTGTAAATACACGATAATTAACGACACTAATTAACACTACCGGACCGACAATGAGCAGGCGAATGTGGACTATGAACAATTCGAAACTAGAAAGTGCACCAGATGGCGGCAGCATTCTGGATTGTGTTTGAAAATGTATCACCAAAGTGCAGAATTTGACCGACCAATCAGAGACCGAGGATCTCTTCGTCCTGATTGGTCGATCGAGCGATTCACTCTCCTGGGGATCGATTGTCTATTTGTGTCGATTTTTCTCACTTTTCGCACATTCATTTCACGTGAAGAAATACACGCGATTGGCTATGAGCAAGATGAAAATACGATATCTCTAGATTCACGGGAGCACAAACCATAGTGAACATTCCGTAAAGCGTATATGCATGCATATATGTTTCAGTGATACCTTTATCTTTATAACCTCTGCAGTTTGAACGGTGTGAATAAGAATGAATGTTACAGAGAAACAAAAAAAAATTATGTTAAATTTTATGAATAAACATTCGGATTTCGGTCGGGGGCGGATACATTTTTGAACATGCTTGAATAAAATTGACGCGACATGTTATGAGAATTGATATAAAATAATACATTAATAAAAAAATAGTGTTTAAAAATTTTTTATTATAAAGTTAAGAAATGTACTGTGATAATCTTAATTATTAATTTATTATAAGATTATGAAATGTACTAATTTTATGCGATACAATTTATGTGATAAATATATATATAAATATATATATATATATATATATATATAAATATATATCCTATTCAAAATACCATCGCACAATATTTCTTAATTCGTACTTCTTCTGCTTGCATTATATTTATATCATTAAATGGTATCGGCACTTCTCCTTTTTCCTCCAAATATACTTCATTTAATGGAATTCTCCATTTATAAGCAATATTATGTAAAACACAACATGCATTTACAATTAGAGCTGTAAAGAATAGATTTAAAAAATACCTTTTCTTATCTCAATTATGCACTATAATTATTTACATACCAGCAAATTCTGGTGTATAATGTAATGTCCTCTCTTTTAATATGTATTTTAATACGTATTTTAATCGCGCTCTACTCTACATAACATATAATGCAGTAGGATATACGACACATTTTGACATTATTCGACACAATAATTCTTGTCGAATAATCTCACGTGAAATATTTCGTGTTTTCACTATAGTAAAAATTAGCCAATCAACTGAATGCTCACTTTTGTCATTTTCACTAGGTTTTGAGATACACAATCGACCCCCAGGTGAGTATATTTTCGAACACAATCTGGAACGCTGCTGCCATCTGGTACATTTTCTAGTTGTTCACGAATCAATGTTCGCGCGTTCATCAGCACTCCGTGAAAGTACGAGAGTGAGTGTATTAATTAGTGTCTTTTAATTAGTGTCTTCGTTAATTATCGCATCGATCCGATCGCGTCGCGTGTACAGACATCGGGATCGCGATCGCAGACGCGATATTGATTAAATGTCATCGCTCTCGCTCGGTATTTGACACTCGGTCTCGAGCCGCCGAAAATTCGCGCGCGCGAATGCTTTTGCCGCGAAAATTTTCGGAGTTTTTCCTTGTCGATCGTGTTCCAAATACGCGATTGCGTGTTTTACCGAAACGCGTCGAAAGTGTGATAGCTAAAACCCAGTTTCTTCTACAAGGACAGTTCCAGATGCAGAGGTTGGTTTCCTACAGGAAAAATGATGCCGGCAGAATCCGGAGTACTTCGAAATGTGAGTCAAATTATTTATTTTTCATTATTTATTTTTCAAGCGATAGAAAAATATACGTCTAAGTATTGACCGGATATCTTGTCGAAGTAAACACGAATATGTAAATTCAAAAAATCCGGCTTCTCTACGGAGGAGGGGGAAGGGGGCATGTACTATAATTTTTTTCCTACTTGAAAGCGACAATTTTAATTTACATTAATGTTTACGCACAAAAATATACAATATTATTATAAAGTTTCTACAAAATCGGAGCTCTCTTTTAATATTACCATATAATTAAATATATGTGTACATGTATGAGTATAAAGAGAGACATTTTCTCTTAGAATTTACCCTGAAAATCATGGTAATCGTGGGACAATATGATACTAAAAGAATTTTAAGAGTTTCTAATTAAATATTTACCACAATAAAAAATATTAATATGTACATAGTAAATTTTACTATGTATGTACATAGTAAAATTAATCGAACATATTTTATTTCTTATTGTGATAGATATTAATATTTTATTGTAATATATTAATTTTTTATTCTGATAAATATCAGAGAAACTCTTATAAACATTCTTCCAATACTATGTTGCCCCACGATTACCATGATTTTCAGGGTAAATTCTAAGAGAAAATTCTTGGTACGAAATATAAAAAAAATATGTACAAATATCATTAAATATACGTGATTACTAAAAAAAAAAAAAATTTCAAATGAGAAACATTTCTAAAATCCTATTTATAAAAATCTTATTATACAGTTCTAAATTTTTTATGACGTACTTTATTGGCTTTTCAAACGATGGAAAGAGTGGCTTGTTTGATATTCTATTTGAACGCTAAGATGTCAAAGTGAAGATTTACCTTTCAAGATATCCGCGAACAAGAGGAGGAAGAACAGCGCGCATAATTGGCGGTGGCTCCTTCGTGCCATGTTGTCCCACGACGAAGCACAGGATGCACAAAAGTCAATTGTAGACGCGCACGAATACGACGAAACACGAGAAACTCGTCGTAACACACATATTCAAAATACAGTCAGTGTACAAACATAGAAATACGCGTGTATACTTGTCGGAGTAATAAAAAGAATGTCAACATTCGTGTATCGCGCGCGCTCTTCTCTTATATCAGAAACATACTTAATTTATTCCGAATCCTCTCGACAAGTCTCTCGTCTCTGTCCTCGTCACATTCGTGAAAATGTATCCAGTTCGCGTATCGCACATCAAACAATGAGATAATCACTGCAATATCAATGCGTGTTAATTACGCCCGCACTGATCATCACGTAACGAAATGGCGCGAAACGGAATCGTCCTCTCTCTCTCTTTCTCAATCGTCTAAACAGTTATGTGAATCTAGCACCCGACTTTTAATTTAATTTTTTAATGCAGAAAATTAAACATTTTTGTAGTAACATAATAGTTTCGTTTGTTACTTGTATCTATTAAAAAATACAAACATTTTTTAAAATAACTCGCATTCATTGAGATATCTCAGATCCACTAACGTAGTTGTTTTTTAGAATCGTTTGTAGTTATTTGTATATAGTGATTTTACTTTTCTTTATAATTACGCACAGTTTAGAAATTATAATTATTTAAATGATCAAGAGTGAACTTCGTCAATTTTAAAGATTCTTCATATCCGCTTTTTTCAGCTGAATAAATAATTCTCATTTCATCATTTGGAAAAAACGGATTTGCAAAATCTTTAAAATTGGCAAACTCCACTCTCTTAACCATTTGTTTAAAGTTTTATATTGAACATTTTATATTCAACTAAACAAACGCACAACGAAAAGCACTATAAATAACTACAAACGATTTTCACACTAGCAGATATGACAATCGAGATATCTCAATGGTGCAAGTCATTTTTTTAATTTTTATATTTTTTTAATAAATACAATTAGCAAGCAAAACTGTTACTATAAATAACCACAAACAAAATGTTATTTTCTGCATTAAAAATTAATTTTTAAAAGTTGGATGCTAGGTTCACATATAGCTCGATCTTATCTTTAAACAAGATCATCCAAGATTTCTCGTGCAAGACACACGAGTGACAATTCACACCGTGTGTCATACATCGCGAATTGATAAAACTGATAATATAATTAACGCTAATTCTAATTAATTCTCCGTTATGATCATTACCAGAGGACACGATAACGACGCGCGGGATTTTCCGCGAGCGTCTCACCGCTATCACACACAATATCCGCGACAATTGTTCGACTGCAAGTGTGATTCCGGATTTTGATTTCGTCTAATTTACATGAATCGACGTCTCTCGCGACGCAAACACGCGTGCCGCTGTCGCGCACGTTCTTACGAAGAACAAACAAACACAACCTTCACCCCTCGATGTGTCGCGCGACACTGCCGGCGCGCGCTCAATTCACGCGACCTCATCCCTACTCGGGAGACGCTCGCGCAAGCGCGAGATGACGCGTGCGCGACGTTTGAAGTTTCCGCGCTGCGCTCCCGCTCCCATTCTCCCTTCAGCATTCACGGCGCGTCAACGTCGCTTATCTTCGTCTCGCTTGCAACAAGTTGCCTTTCGTACGCGTGACCGGAGGGAGAAGAAAGCCGTGCGAACACGGGCATATAACGGAGAACGATCGAAAGAAAAGAAAGCGTACGGATGTGCTTTCGACGCGGCCAGCTGTAATGAAATTAGATTAATGGTTCGAAGGACTATGCGAAACTAGCGGGGGTGCGAATGAAACAATTCTCGCAGTATGGGCGTCCGCTGAGGAATCAGTAATAAAAATGAAGGTGTTTGCTCTCCTTTTGAATAAACACTGGAATTTATTTGCGTATTCAATATAAAAATAAAAATAAAAAATTAAGAAAGAACAAAAAATAAGAAATAAAAAATGTTAATCATGCCCTCTCCTAAAAAAAATCTTGCGGACACCCATGCCTCGCAGTTTTCTTTTTTCGTAAGCGAAAAGTACTGCTAATATTAGAGATAAGCATGTTAGATTTGTTTGATTTTACTTTATTGATTAAAATATTGTAAAATTAAATGGTATATCTTAGAGCAGGTGCGATTCTCTTTTATAGCTTGTATCATTATTCACAAAACTTGAAATTAATGCAACTGTTATCTTGGCTTGGCTGCTGGACTATCGGAGTAGGTGGTCGATCCTTCAGAACTATAGCAAACACTATGCTGCAGATAAAATTTATGATTTATTATATATATACAAATTTATATAAATTAATTATAAAATTACTTTTTTGTTAATTTTTTTGTAGTTCTTGTAATAATTAATAGCTCAAAAAATATATCAAAATACATTTACACACATTAAATATACATGAATAAATGCAGCCATAATCACTTACCTTATAAGGTGTACGACCTCTAGATGTTTCTGATGGAGAAGCGGAAGTAGATTTAGTGTATTTCTTTCGTCTGTTAATCAAAAATATCTTGAAATATATAATCATATTCGTATATAATAGCATATGAATAATGATTAATCTAGCAATATGATAACAGAACTATAGCATATCTAATATTAATAGAAATATATTTTAATATAATATAACGAAATAAAACACGTGTGCACACTCACGGATAAATTCTGCCGATATTACTGATGCTGCCTTTGCTGTTGTAACTGATTGCAGCTAAGCAACGTTCCTCATCCATATGATCTTGACATCCCCCTGGGCATCGTCCAAACCTATTTCTCCACCACTCTTTCAATTTTTCAAGCACGCCCTTTCGCAACGACTTCGAAGAACACGTATCCGGTTGACAATAATCCGCATTCTCATACAAAACTGCAAATCTAAAGAGAAAAACAAATTAAATGTCATTACGAAGTATTTGTTTATTTTTTACAAAAAATAAAATATACTTTTAAATGTATTTTAAAAAATGTACTTTTTAGCGAACGCTCAAAAAATTTCATTAATAACTTTTCTATATCAGAATTATTATATTATTATTTTTAATATTATATCAATAATTTTATAAATCTCGAAAGAATATAAAGTTAATTTGAAAAGATCCTCTTAAAAGTTAATTTTGTATTTTGCAGAGTTATTGCTTAGACTCTGCATCTAATTAGTTTATTTATTTAATTGTGCTTCATAAAATTTATTGTCCATAATTTCTCTCTCTCTCTCTCTCTCTCTCACACACACACAAAGGTTTAAAAAGTAAATAACAAATCTCATAAAAAAATTAGATTCGGTAAAAAAATTAGGATAAAAAATTGATAATATATTTTTTTTAATTATAATTGAAAAAATATATTGAGCGTCAGAAAACATTTCTACTTACGGAGTAGTTTTCGTTTCGCAAGGTGGACATTCGAGTTGCTTAGTGAGGAATCTGTAGCACACTAAACTTAAACCCACTAATAACCACATTACCAATGCAGATACTATTGCTATAATCACGATTTCCGTAGTGTTAAGGGTCATTATTTTGTCGTTGCCTAAATTCAATTGACACAAACTTAATTATCCTTTTAAATCGTTAGAAATTATATATTATTAAATAAAGTAAAATACCATTAAAAATAAATTATATAAACAACTACCAAAGAAATTAAATTAAATGTTACAATATATGCAAAAGCAAACATTTTATCACATATTATTATTTTACGAGCAACTTACTTCGTTCCTTTTCTTTGTAAAGTATTTTCTCATCCGTCTGATCCGCACGTTCCGCACCTATTTGGGGCATAACTTGATAAGTCCCGCTTGTTCTACTGTTCATAATTCCGTCCTCTGTATCTGAAATGAAACTTAAGTTATAAGGAATATATTCCATAAAATTATTTACATTTAAAAAAAACCAAGAAGCAGACATATTTCTCTAGTATACTGCATGTTTTTAATACTGATTTTGATCTCAATATTATAAAGTAATTTGAAATAATATTTGTGTTTATTTTTTATTATCTTCTATGTGATTTTATAATTATGAAGTAAAATATGAAGCTTTTCCTAAAATTATACTTGCGATAAGACATTGCATTTATACGTAGCTTTGCCACGTAAATGCATTCGAAATACATCAAAAGATTAAAATGGACATGCATTTATATTTTATTTTTCTTTGAGATGCATGATCAAGTCGTACATGAATTGAAAACATGGTCAGAGAAATGTTACAAAATGTACAGTTCCTTAGCTATGCAAACGCTTAAACGGAATAGTATATCGGTCTCATTAATTTTCAAATACGATGAATTACAAGCAAGGAGACCGTCATGAAATATTACCTGATTCTCGCAAGGTGGCCATTACTCTGAGAACACCTCCGAATGCTGGATACCACTTTTCGTCGTCCAGGTGTCGACGCACCTGAAAAGCAAACGATACTTTTATTTACCTTCTGTCTGGGATTAATCTCAACCGCGTCAACAATTACGAAATGGAAGAACCTCTGTGAAAAAACTAAGCATGATGTTTTTTTCTAACATAAAAGCTGCAGGATATCTATTTCGGATATATTTCATGATTTATATCATTATTATTTAAATTTAAATTTTTTAAATATTTCGTAATTGATATTATCATTAAAAAACAGCGAAATTTATACGGATTGTTGCAACCAGATGTAAAAGTCTTTATTGAATCTCTGCAACTGCGTTCTTGTGCTCGATCGTGATATAATGCACTTTACGCTGGCGATGTAGTACTTTACAAGCACGAAAGCTGATTTTTCTGAATACAACGATTGCAGGCTGTCGGTTTTGAAGGGCAACGCGATGCTAAATAGAGAATCTGTATAAGAATCTATAAGATTTTTTAATCGATAAAGCATTCTTACAAATTGTTACTTAAAACTACCTGTTAGGATTCACTTCGTTATCGAGAAATGGAAGTGGTATAATGATTTCGCTCGTCGCAACTTCGTTATTATAGCCTTGTAAAAAAAATAAAAAATCTTATATTTGTATAATTCTCAAAAAATGGCAAACTATTTTCTTGGATGATAAAAATATTTTCAGTTTTCATTCTTATGTCAACCATATGGAGTAGTACTAAAATAGTACACTAATACTAGTGTCGTTTAGAGTTAAATTTGTTCCTTCTCACCATCGACTGCACGTCTAGAATGTCTTCGCTTCATTATGGATTGTTTCTTTTTCTGAACGTGAAGCTTCGATAATCGTTCTCGAAAGCTATTCATTAAGAAAAAAAATTACAAATTATTAATCCTTTAATATGAAAAATAAGCATTGATTTATGCTCTCAAATCGAAATTAATTCGATACACACAATTTGCAAAAATCACATAAATATTTCTCTAAATAATAAAAACTTACAAGTTATATTTCTCTTTTGTAAAGATTAGTTACGAAAGACAGAAGTTATTTCCTTATTGCTTAGATAAAGAATCAAATTCAAAATGATAGATTCAAAGTGATAAATATAAGGCCAACTTATCGAGCTGAATATTCGAGATGTTCAGTCAACTACCATTTATTACATGTATAAATTATAAAACTACAGTCATTATATTAAAACTAACGCAAATTACAATCATTCTATAAACGTTTCGACCGCACGCGGTCTTCTTCAGTATAATTATTGAAATATAAATTCTTACAATTCACATAATATCGAAATTTAATTATAGTTATTCAGAATCAAGAGTTTTTGAGTAATTAACGCGTGTTTCAATCCGTCCTGTCCAACAATGTTCGCCTCGATATGATCCCTGATTTTGTTCAGATCTCGGATAGTTTCATCGTTAATATGCGAGAAATTAACCCGTTCCGTAGGCGCTATCATCGTTCTTCTTGATAATTTTGCTACTTATTAACAGTTATTAAGGATGACACATAACAAACCAACAATACAGAAAGACAGCTCATTTTGAACAGGATGACACATAACAAACCAACAATACAGAAAGACAGCTCATTTTGAACTGTATTGTTGGTTTGTTATGTGTCATCCTTAATAACTGTTAATAAGTAGCAAAATTATCAAGAAGAACGATGATAGCGCCTACGGAACGGGTTAATTTCTCGCATATTAACGATGAAACTATCCGAGATCTGAACAAAATCAGGGATCATATCGAGGCGAACATTGTTGGACAGGACGGATTGAAACACGCGTTAATTACTCAAAAACTCTTGATTCTGAATAACTATAATTAAATTTCGATATTATGTGAATTGTAAGAATTTATATTTCAATAATTATACTGAAGAAGACCGCGTGCGGTCGAAACGTTTATAGAATGATTGTAATTTGCGTTAGTTTTAATATAATGACTGTAGTTTTATAATTTATACATGTAATAAATGGTAGTTGACTGAACATCTCGAATATTCAGCTCGATAAGTTGGCCTTATATTTATCACTTTGTTTTCAATATACGAGCGACAATTGTATTAATGATAGATTCAATTTATATTTTTAGAAATTTCTTGAATATCGTGATGGATTATTCTTGCAATATTCTTAGCAATTGTACTTACGTGCTGAATACATAATAAGTCCGTTACAGGCAACCGATGTTTTTGGTGGTGTAATTATGATAGGAGGTATCTTGACACTTTCAATGTCCTGGGTAGGCTTCGACCAGCCGGCACCATTTGTCCGAAGAAAGATCTTTAATTCATCGAAGAGCTCAAACAGCATCTTCGCGTTACGATACTTGATATTCCCTGCGTAATACGAGCGTCTTGTGATAGGTAGGATGTAAACTCGCAAGTAACCACCCAGAGTATCTGCCAGAGCTTTCAACATCAGATGCTTTGTTTTGCCCACAGACAGTCTCTGCACACTCTCGAGACATATGTGAAAATAGTCCATGAGATGCGCTATGTACTCATCGTCTTGAGAATCAATGACTTTCACCTAGTAGAAAGAAAATTTCAATCTTTATGAGATATTCTTTTGATAATTCTTTTATATTCCTGCGACTACTTTTTTAAATTATTATCTTCCACAATTTTTGGTTTATATAATGATAAAATATTTTACTCTTATTTACTCTTATATGTACATACTCTTTTTTAAATAATAATTTGTGTTTAATAACAAAATTCTTAGAAGATTATGTTCACGATAGATGCACCTGAGGCAAAATGTCTTGAAACATTCTCCGACTACTGAGGATGGCAAAATCTTCGCTGGTCCAGCACTGCTTTCCATAATCGTTTCTCTCAAATAAAACGGTACCGATATTGTGATCATATTTAAAAGATTTCGCATCGATTCTCCTGTTAGAGGCAATTAATAAATAATAAATTACATTTTATTTGAATTTGTAAAATGTGTAACACGATTGTGTTTCAGTGTGTTATCTTGGAGTTATATAAATCTTTTAATTCAAAGGAACATTCGTTTATTATTTAATTATCGGTAATAATTAATATTACAAAATAAAATCAACATATTAATATAAAACATTTTTAATTTCTACTTATATAATATATACATCTATGAAATGCAAGACAAACCTTTTATTGAAAATGCAACCTGCAAATATAAAGAGAAACAATAAGAAACATATATTCATACTCTGAAACACCAGAATTCCAAATTCAACCGCGTGATTCTTTTTCGCGGGTTTCTTGAATATTTTTGACAAGTCTATAACGACTTGCACCTATTTTATTGATTATTATTATGTCTGTCATACAGATTATTTCATGATGTTCATTTACGCACCGCTTCAGTATGCTAATATAAAACAAATACCTAATTTCAAGTATATATATATATAACTTCTCATTTTATAAAAATTACTAAATTTTAATTATGAAAATTTCGTGAAATTTAGTATTCTAAAAATGTTTCTTGATAGTATTACGCAAAATTATAAGTCATTATTTAATATGTTCAAGAAAAATATAAAGCAATAAAAATAGTGTAGAGTAATTTAACAATATAAATATAATAGGAATTGGATGGACTGATAATAGATAGACAATATTAAATGAACACTATATACACACATATGTATATATAAATATATATCTAATATAAGATACATTTAATGTCATTAAATACATTAATATGCTGAGAAATCCATTTAATTATACAGAGATAGACGGTAATAATTGTGTCCAATATATAATAATATATATATATATATATATATATATATATGTATATATCTTCGACGTACATATACTATAAAATGAATTTATTAAAACGAAGAGTTTAATCGTGTAAACTGATAACTACAAAAGATATGAAGTTTTTTCTTTCTACTTTGTTTATCTAGTTATTACGAACTTTAATTTAATATAACTAGAATAACAGAAAAAATAGATATGTAGAATACATTTGCGCTCTCTCTCTCTCTCTCTCTCTCTCTCTCTCTCTCTCCTCTCGTTGGAACGTTTACATTTAAAAATGCTATTTTAAATTGTTTCATTTTTGAGTGCTCATTTAAAACCTACTACAATTAATCACCATATTTTGCTTGAAGTAAAATCTTGAATTGTGT